TTCCCCCTTTACTGGGTGCAGTTCACTCTACTGGAAAAGTAGGAGTGAGCTGAGCCATAATTTCTATTTTATTTGGTGAGCAAACACCAGGCAGGGAGCAGCACTGGGCACCCCTGGGGACAGGGCAGAGGGGCTCAGTGTGGGCACTGCCCCGAGCCCAGGGCAGCAGGGCTGGCACAGTCAGTGCCCAGGAAACACAACCCCTCACTGCAGCGTCCTTTGATTTGGGCTCTGGAGGACATTGTGTCCTTCAAAGAGGCTAAAACGGCAAACGAGATCAGACAGGACCTGGACAAAAACCTCCCCAGCCCTGACTCCCCCACATCATCCTCTGAGACAGAGCCCATGAGTCAAACCTGGCTCTTCCTCCTCCCCTCAGAACACCCTCGCTCCTCTCAGCTCTAATTAAAAGGAAGTGAGGGCTGGAGCAGGAGATGAATCCTGTTGTGCAACGGGCTGGGATGAATCATCCCTCGAGGACATGGTCCTCCTGGGGGCTGGAGGGTCCTCCTGGCACAAGAGGAGGCTCGGCAAGGAGGGAGAGCCAGGACTGCTCCCAGCCAGCCCTCAGTGTGCCCTGCGCCAGCTGGCACAGCTGATGTGGTGCTCTGGAGCATCCTCATCTCCCCAGGAGAGGCTTTCACTGAGCTCTCGAGCACTGGGAAATGGAGATGCTCAACTCATCCTGCTCTGCCAAGGAGGAGCACGGGAGGGGGCACAGCTCGTCCCTGGCTGTCACCCCACAGAGGCTTTGCCCTCCATTAGTGACAGCTGATTCATTCCCAAGCAAGCTCGAGCAAAATTGGTGCCTCTGTGATGGGAAAGCAGCAGAAATTTAGCTCTGGCCTAGAAATGACCCACTGTGGATCAGACAGCACAGGGGGCACCGAGAGCTTGGGTCACACTGTCCATGGGGCCTGAGGGTTGGTCCATGCCAGGAGGGTTGTAAATGCACAGCCTTTCCTGGCCAGGAGCTCTCTCCAGCCCGGAATGGCCATTTCACTGTGGAGGGAAGGAGCCACTGCCAGCACCCAGAGCTGTCCCTGCTGTGCTCAGCCCGAGAGGTGGCACCACAGCTGGGAAGTTTGAGCACCTGGGGATGGACCCAAGCTTGCTGTGGTGACAGTGCCAACACCACGGTGTCAAGATGGGGCCCCAGCCCTGGGGTGGAATGCCAGGGGTCCCCCAGCAGCTCCTGCACCTGCAGCGGGGCTTTTTCCTGGGATACCTGGGAGGGAGCAGGGCACCGAGGGGAAGTGGCACAGCCTGGCACAGCCCCCACCCCCAGACACCCACACAGGCTTTGATGCCCCCTCCCTGCTGCCCCGTCCCAGCAGCACAAAGCACCAACCTGCCCTCCTGGGCGCTGCTCACGCTGGGTTCTGTGAGTCACATCACTGATGTCACCTCCCCGCGTCACCGGAGCTCCGAGATGGATTTAATGAGCCTTTGTTTTCCTCAGCTAAGAAAAACCTCAAAGAGGCTCAGTCTCCAGCATCCTGAGGAGCCAGCAGGTCGCTCTGCCACTGTCTCTGTCCCCACAGGAGGACAGAGAACTGCCAAAGGGGCCAGCGGGCTGGCTGAGAGCTTCAGAGACCCAGGGACAACACCCAGGTCACTCCAGAGCACCTCTGTCCTCACCAGAACCTGCCACCCTCTGCACAGGACAAGGCAGGTGAGCCCTGCTGTGCCTTGCACTGCTCTGGTGCCATGAGGGAACGAGGGACAGGTGGCAAAGGGGCAGTGCCACCATGCCTGAGGACATGGGACAGCATCTGCAAAGGCCTCTGCCCGAGGAGCTGAAGAGTGTGACATTCCTGGCTGGAATTGTCACCCGTGTAAACTGACACACTGTCACCATGCTCTGCCCTGCAGCCCTGGGGCCACCAAACCCAAGGGACAGAGCCACCCTGGCCACTCCCTGGGGCTGCCCAGCAGCTTTTGGCAACACCTGGGGACTGAATCCTGATTTACACCAATATACACAAGGAATTTTAAGCTTGTACTGCTTTAAATCCAGAGGAATAAATCACTGAAAAGCAGAAGGGAAAAAAATTCATGACAAAAATCGAGGGAAACGAAGATCACTCTTCTCTCTTCTATGAAGGTCACTAAAAAGGGAAACATCACATGAGGCCCCTGGGAGCCCAGCAGTGTAAATAGTCAGTGGACAGAGGGCATCTTCTATTAAAGAAAGTGTCTCGCTAAAATACATAGGCATCATATCAATTATTGGATAATGAAATTCCAGTTAATTTGCTGCCTGGTCAGCCACAACCCTCCTGCCATGCTCCTGAGCAGAGCCAATAATCTTAAGAAAGAATTACATTGGTATGGAGGCAGCTGGTCAGTGGAATTTGGGAAAGAGCAGCTTCTTCAGGACGGGGGTGGGGAGGGGGCACTGCAGCCCCATTGCCCCACAGCCCGTTCCCCCTTGTCCTGTCCTCCAGGCCCTTTTCCAAAATCCCTCTCCACCTCTTGGAGCACTTTAGACACTGGAAGGGGTCTAAGGTCTGCCTGGATCCTTCTCTTCTCCAGGTGAGCATTTCCATCAGCTCCAGCTCCAGGCTGTTCCCACCTCACCTCAGCAGTGTCCCGCAAGGAGCAGCCAGCAGCAGATGCCCTGGCAGGGCACACGGAGGGGATCACCCCACACAGGCACTTCCCAGGAAATCCCTTCCATCCCTTTCCCATTTTCAGCTCTGCAGTGACCAGCCCTGGTCACTTTGCCCAGTTGCTCCCAGACTTCTCCTCTCCCCGCTGCCCTCAGCTCTGCCCTGTCTGCTGGGGCTGCAGATGGGACAAGGATTGCCTCTGTTCACTGGGACCTCAGGGGGTTCCAAAAAGGCCAGGAGACAGCCACCCCTTTGCTGCACAGGTGCCTTGATGCCAGGGAGGACACCAGACCCAGGAAGGGGAAGGTTGGGAACTTCTTCTCCTTCAAAAGAAGAACTGCAGCGTTTGAAAGTGCAGGATCAGGTCTCAGACCCATGGCGTGGAGTGGGTTTCCAGTACAAATCCCACTCTAACCCCATTTCCAGTACAAATCCCATTCTAACTCCTTTCCCATTACCCTTTTCCTTTCTCCCTCTGCTGCTGTGAACCATTGGCACTTTGTAGTACCAAATATTCTGCATGCTCCATGCAATTTAAAAGCCATTATGTCAGCTGCTCTCTCCCCCCAGCTCTTGAAGCCCCCAGTTGCTGTGTCAGAATGTAATTAGCTTTTGATGGGATGTTAAGATTTCTTGAGCTCCTGTGGAGAGGCAGCGTGGGGAGAGGCAAGGCAGTGGATTGTGATTGTCACTCCCCGTGGGAAGCACTCGAAGACCCTGGAAGACTCATTTACAAAAATGTTAAATAAATAAATAAATAAATAAATAAATCCAAAAGCAGCAGACTCAGTAGGCATTGGTTTAATCAACTGAAATCACTACGATTTTTTTACCTCTGTGCTCTTTCCTTTTGGAGGCAAATGGGAATTAACTCCCTCATGACCAATGGAAAGTGCAATGGGGAGGCCCAGCCAGGGGTCTATTGCACACCCAGCTCCTGGGAAGCTGGGAAAGCCCTTCCTGAGCTGTTCATCCCTGCCCGTGGTAAGGAGATGCTGCAAGCTCTGCTGCTTCCCCCAGCTGTTCCTTTGCTCCTGCATCCACACTGGGACCAGCCCCTCCATCCACACTGGGACCAGCCCCTCCATCCACACTGGGACCAATCCCTCCATCCTAACTGGGAGCAATCCCTCCATCCTAACTGGGAGCAATCCCTCCATCCTAACTGGGAGCAACCCCTCCATCCACACTGGGACCAGCTCCTCCATCCACACTGGGACCAGCTCCTGCATCCACATTGGGACCAGCCCCTCCGTCCACACTGGGACCAGCCCCTCCATCTAGCCCAGGAGCAGCAGGAGACACTTCCCTAAGCACAAACCTGCCACAAACTCCCTGCAGACACAGCGCCCTGAGGTCAACACAGCCCTGGCTGTGCATGGTGCTGTGAAACACAGATGGATCCAATGCAATCCTGAGCCATTCCCACTGAATGCCAGTTCAACTGGATAATGGGCCCTATTGATTGCTGCAAGGGCCAGACCAATCTCACTTGTCCTTTCAATGATTATTGTGGCATTCTCTACATTATTTCTGCTCAGTAAAATTAATTCCTCTTTGCCCACCCCTGTTCCTGTGGATGGGAGCGTGTTCCAGTCTCCATTCCTGCGGAGGTGGAAGTTAAGGAGACCTCTGCAAGGACTGGACTTAATTCACTTCTGAACTGTTGTCAGACAATTTGATATTTTTTTTGTTTCTCTCTAATACTGTCACTGGCATTAGTAGATAAAAAACAATAGCTGCATCTGGTCACTTGAGTAGTCAGCCTCCCCTTCCACAGCTCTGCTGACATTTCTGTCTCCAGCCTGGACACTAATGCATTCCATTTTAATTTTAGCAAATGCTTTCTTTATGATCAGAGACATTTTTCATTTGTATGTGTTTGCATCTCTCTTAAAATTCAATACTTCATTTGGGGCTGCCAGGTTATTGCTGCTCCTCAAAATAAAACATTTGTGGCACAGGAATATTTCAAATTATTTTCTCTGGTTTCCTCCACTCAAGAGCAGCAATTGCCTTTCCAGCTGCTCTGGGAGGAGCAGAGAGGAGTCAGGTCCCAGTCCCAGTCCCAGTCCCAGTCCCTGCCCTCTGCACAGAGGATCTGGAGGGAAATGGGGCTGCTTGGGGCTGCCCTGTACAGAATCACCCAAAACAATCAAAAGGAGAGGCTGAAGGAGATGTTTGCCCTCCTTTGGCCATCACACTAAAGCTCCTGGAAAAGACTTCCCAGCCAACAGCATTTTACATATAATCATATTTCCGTGGGGTGCAGCAGGAGATTCCTCAGGTGGTCTGGATCCCTCCCGTGCTGCCTTGAGCAAACAAACCAAGGGAAGGGCTCTGCAGAGGGGCTGCGAGGGTTTGTTTGCCCGTGCCAACCTGTGCATGTCCACCTCGGACAATCCCAAAGCATCTGGGGAGGGAGCAGCCCCTGAGCAGCCCCTGAGCTCGCAGGGACGGGAAGGAGCAGGAGGTAATGATTCCTGCGGGATGGAGGTAACCAGCACTGGATAGTTCTGGGAGCAGGAACTCATCTCTGAACTCCCCTAACAACGGCGCAAAGGGTGCAAGCCCAGCTCTGCCAGCCCAGCCCTGCTAAACCCAGCCCAGCCCAGCCCTGCCAAGCCCAGCCCTGCCAAGCCCAACCCTGCTAAACCCAGCTCTGCTAAACCGAGCCCTGCCAAGCCCAGCCCAGCCCAGCCCAGCCCAGCCCTGCCAAGCCAAGTCCAGCCCTGCCAGCCCAGCCCAGCCCGGCCAGCCCAGCCCAGCCCAGCCCAGCCCAGCGCCCCTCAGGGGCCCTGCAGGAGTTGTGTTTGCACGGCCCGAGGAGAGGAGAGATCGTATTTTATATCAGCAATAAATGTCAGCAGCTAAAATCAGCCTTCAATTCCTAACTGTCGATTTTCCATAACAATGAAGGCTGGATACCGAGCTGGGCAACCCACAGGTGAGCTGGCAGAGCCAGGCAGCTGGGATTCCTTTAAACACTGTGATACCTGAGGCTATGAGAAATCTCACCTCCTTATCACAGAGCAACCCGTCGTTAACAGTGGATTTCCCACCTCTGAGCATGCTCTGGCATCTCAGGATACACAGGGTCAGACATGTCCCAGTACAAGAGCCCTCAAACCCAGGCACTCTTGCATCTACAGCATTTCCCCCAGTATTTGCTTTCCCAGTGTTTCTGCCCAGCCCAGCTGTAAATGACTGAAGTAATAGAGCTCCCACCATTTCCCCTGGAAGATTATTCCATGGTCTAACAGATTTTGCCATTAGAATTTTTTTCCGTCCTGATGCAATTTAATTTCACTCCATTATATCAATGTATAGAGAGAAAAGAGAAAAACCACAGGGGTGACAGAGAGGGCAGAAGGGTCTAGAAGGGGTCTGGGCAGGATGGAGCTCAGGAGTGACAGTCCCATGACAGCCGTCCCAGCCTGCTGCAGAAGGTTGGATAATCCATCTCCATCTCCTCCCCAGCCTCTGGAGGCTGTGCCTGCCCTGGAGAGATGCTCCCAGTGACCACGGGCTGCCAGCACACACACAGAGCCACCGAATTCCGCCTGAAAACTGAACCCAGGGAAGGAAAGTTCAGGGTGTTGCAGCGCTGGCAGGATGTGCTCCTCCTTCCCTAATCAGGATGTGTTATTGGGGAGCGCTTAAAGCCAAGTCAGGGGTAATTAAAGGTAATTAAGTGCCCTCAGTGGGGAGTGAGGCGCTCGGGGATGCAGAGGAGCTGCCCTGCGGCTCTCGAGGAAGGGGATGAGGCTGTGCCGGGCTCGGGGCTGCCCAGAGCACACAGGAACAGCCCTGCAGGCCAGGCAGGTTCAGGCCTTTGGTGTTCCCCTCTGGGGCATCCTTCCTTCTGCAGGAGCTGGGGGAGAGCTGAGCCCAGGGAGCAGCTCCCAGCCCAACTGTCCTGAATGTGACGGGGCAGGCCCTGTGACAGCTGAGGGGGCACAGGACCCGGGATGGGAATGAAGCAGCTGCTGGGACTGGAAAAACCCTGGCTGCAAATGGGAGCTCAGCCTGAGCAGCAAAAGCTGTGCCCAAAAGCCAGCAGTCACTCTCCACAGCGTTCATCTTCCCTGCATTACTGGGAAAAGCAAGTAACTCCTGATTTACCCCGAGTTCCTGCTCACGCGTGCGAGGAGCTCCATAAATGCCCATTTTACACGAGTCCCCACACAGCTGATGAGCAGCAACAGGTGGAGCTCCAAGCGCTGCCAGCGTCCCGGGAGCAGAGCAGAGCCAGGCCGGAGTGTCCCACCCTGGCCCTGCATGGGACAGGGCCAGCCTGGGCTAAATTGCAGGTGAAAACCCAGCACATCTCTACCTAAACATGGCCAACCACTCGCAACTCAACTTCCAAGATGCTTCCTTGTCTATCATAGAAGAACTGATAGGATTCCATGACCACACCCTAATGGTTGCAAGGCAATCCGCAGCCTAGTCCTCTACCTATGAATCCGGATACTTACAGAAAAACTGTCACCAAGTACAGCTGATGCACAAGAAATCGACCTCGTCTGAACGATCCTCCCAGCCATAGTGCTGGTCATGCTCGCCCCACTGTCCTTACAAATCCTCTACATAACAGACGGCATCAACGAACCCGATCTGACCCTAAAAGCCATCGGTCACCAATGATACTGAACCTACCAATACACTGATCTCAAAGACCTCACATTGGACTCCTACATAATCCCCACTACAGATTTACCCTTAGGACACTTCCACCTGCTAGAAGTCGACCACCGTGGTGTCATCCCTGTAAGCTCCACTGTCCGAGTCATCGTCACTGCTGACAATGACACACTTCACTCATGAGCTGTCGCCACTCATGAGCATCCCCCGAGCTGCCATGGACACAGCCAGGCTGCCAAAAGAGTCTGCATGGGGAATATGGAACAGGAAAGCCTTATAAATATGATTGTCTGGCAAAAGATTTTGAGACTATGGAAACTCTAAGTGAGATTGAAATAAAGCAAGCTTTGAGATCCCTCAGTTACTGAACAACTGGAAAACAATGGCATGGCCAGCTGAAGGTGATCCCCTTTGGATCAAACAATACCCTCTGCTTGTAGACAGGCCCAAGGCTCAGAGCAGATCCTGCCAGCTTGGCAGAAGGGGCCCAAAGAGGAGTTTTTAGGGTTTAAAATGTAACCCAGTGTGGTAATGTAATGATTCTTATAGGCTGTGTGGAAATGCTGTAGGATTTGTATCTTGGACAGGATTGGTTAGTGAGAATGAGAATATTCAACACCGAAGATTTATTGTATTGTAACAGGAACCTTGCACTCTTATTCTCTTATCCTCCTTTTAATCTCTCATCCTCTCTCCCCCTCTCTTCTCTCGGGCCTGCTCTGAGCTGTGTTTGGCAGCTCCCAGCAGGGCCCTGCACCCAGGCCCTTTGCAATAACCCACAAGTTCCCAGCCCTGGCTGCAGAGATCTCTGGTCTCTGTCCATCCTGACTGTGCTACCCCCGGCACTCCTAAAAGTCTGCATGGGGAAGACCTTTGCTTTGGGAAGAACTTGGGCATTAATGAACTTGGGAGGGATTTAAAAGCCATGTGGATGTGGCACTTGAGACCAGGCCAGTGATGGGTTTGGAAGTGTTGGACTCAATCTCAGAGGGATTTTCCAACCTAAAAGGTTCTGTGAGGTCGTGGCTCTTACTGCAGGTTCTGTGTCTGGCTGTGGCTTTGCTGTCAAACCTGGACTCCAGACCTTGCCCAGTTACTCCAGCAGAGCCAGATTGCAGCTCTCTAATTCCAGTTTAACTCACACTAGCAGTGCACAACCTGCACCAAGCTCCTTGGGGATTGCTCTGCCTGTATGGATGTAAAGAGGGTGCTTCAGCCAGCCAGACCCTCACTCACTGTCAGGACTTGGTTCCTGCAGCAGGGCCCCGTGGCTGAGTGCTCCCTTTGCACCCCTCAGAGGAGTTCTGCAGAGCTCATGACCTCAGGAGACAGGGAAAGCACCACAGCAGAGCACTGTGCCTGCAGGAGCATCAGGCAGGGTGGAAATGCAGCATCCCTGGGCTGACACCTTGTTTCTGGAGTTTGTCATGCCCATGGGAACAAAGCCCTGAGCCAGCCCTGCTGCTGGGTGCCAGGGTGCCAAAGGGAGGCAGTGCTGGGTGGGAGCAGAGTGTCCCCAGCCTGTCCCCGTGTGCCCACAGGGCTCTGGCAGGGGCTGCTGGGGCTGCTTGGATGGAGCCTCTCCAAACCCCATGTGCCACTGTGGGCTGGGCTGTCTCCAGCTTGGAGAACCTGGGTGTCCCAGAGAGAGCCCAAAGTGGGGAAGCCATGCCATCTCCAGGCTTTGGACATGAGGAATGTTGGCTTCAATACCGACATTTTGCCTGCAGGTCCCAAAGCATCTTGTGAGGCCCTCACCTGCTCCATCACAGCAGCAGCACATCCACAAAAGGCACTCAGACACCACTTTTGGGCTATTCCTGCCTGATTTATTTATCAGGCCCTTCCCTCTAGGTCTGCTGCACTTCTGTGGATACAGAGCTGTGCATCAAAAAAGGGTTAAAACCCCAAGGGAGCTGCTGATTACATTTTATGTAGTTCAGAAAGGCCAGTGAGGCCCTGGAACCAAACATTTTTCCTTTTAATGACACCCTCATGGATTAAGAGGGACCTGTCTCCCCACAAACATTAAAGCAATGGATGGATTACCCTGGCGACCCCACCTGTGCACTGCTGGGACACCAGGGAACAGCCTGCAAAAGGGCCACAACAGCTTTGGGACAGGTGTGGCACAGGCAGGGCAGTGCCACTTCCCTCCACTGTCCCCAAACAGCCACCCTGGCAGTGGAGCTGGGCCAGGGAAAAAGAAAGTGGAAAGGGGTTTTGGGGTGAGAGGAGGTGTTATTGCAGATGTTTGGGTTATTGCAGGGGTTTGCCTAAAAGGAGGAGGAGGGAAGGGGAGAGGAAATATCTACCAAGCTTTAGGAGAAGCAGATGGTGGCAGTGGAAGGGAAAGTGCCTGTGAGATGAGTCCAGTGAGTGGGATTAGTCCCAAGCTTGCAGAGGTCTCTCAGTGCTCCTGTTCAGGGCCATCAAAGCCTCGGGGGGTTCTGGGCAAGGCAGGGTCTCTGGCTGCCTGGGGATGGTCCCAGGGCTTTGGCAGCATCGTCCATCAGCACCCCCTGTGCTTTGCCCTGGCAGGCACCCAGCCAGGGCCCCTGTGTCACCATCCCGGGGGCCCAGCTGCCACCTGAGCTGTGCCCAGGCCGTGAGCCACCTCCAGCCAGGGCTGGCAGGGGACACAGTGACCCCTCAGGCACTGGCAGGGGATGCTGGCCCTGCTGGGCCTCGCCTGTGACTGGCAGGATGGAAATCTGCCTAATTAGCACCAGTAAAAGCAGCAGCAGCAGCAGCAGGGGCCCGGGCAGCCCCTGCCAAGCAAACATGTTCAAATCAAACTGCAGCTCCTTTGCTCCAAAGTTTACAAGATGTTTCTTTCAAACCCTCATTAAGCCCTTCTGTCGTCCCCCCTGTGCCTCGGTTCCAATGCCAGCACACAGAGCCCTGCTCCAACGCTGTTCTAACCCTGCCCCAACCCTGCTCCAATGCTGTTCTAACCCTGCCCCAACCCTGCCCCAACCCTGCCCCAGCCCTGCCCCTGCCCCTTCTGGGCATGTGATGTGGGCATTGCCGGCACAAGAGGCACGAAAGGGCCAAGGAAGTCTGAGGGATTGGATTTTCCACTGTCCAGGCCATCCTCCTGACACAGTCACCTCTGCAAAAGCCCCAGAACAGTTTGGAAGTGGAACTGGAGCCATTTCCTGGCCAGAGCAGCCCCAAGTGCAGCAGGACAGAGCCTGACCTGGAGGGAGCTCGTCCTGCCCACCCCAGGCAAGGCACACAGGCCCATCCCTGCCAAGCTGCTCTTTGGCATCAGCAGAACGGTCTCACATGGGAACAGCCCGAGCCTTGAGCACAATTTTTGGAAAGAATTTAATTCCTTGGACTCTCATTAAGTGTTGGGCACCAAGTCCTGGCTCTGGGTGAGCACCTGGGCTGTTTCCCTGCTACTGGCACAGCCCCACATTGTCCCCTCCCCAGGTGACACAGCCCCGAGGACAGAGCCAAACCACAGCCCCATGCTCCAGGCAGATTTTGCTCCTGAGCTGACACCTGCCCTTTATCCCACGGGTCTGGGAACACCTGACCAGGGTTTGGGGCCCCCAGGTTTTGTGCCAGGGCGTGGCATCCCTTGGCACATCCAGGGATGCTGGGAGCAGCGAGCAGGGTCATGCCCCAGGGGAGTCCGGCCAGCTCCAGGCACTGGAAAAGCTGAACCCTCTGCGAGGGTTCACTCAGAACTTCGGGCAGTCAGCCCTTTTCCTTTTGCTGAGCTCAGGACTGCGTGAAGTGCAGCTCACAGGCAGCAAGGTGCCCCACAGAGAGCCTCGGAGGTGAGGAGGGAAACGTCAGGAGGGGAAATTAAATGGAGAAACTCAGCTCAGCCCCAAGCAGAGCATCCCTGCTGCTGCCCTGAGCAGAGCCCTTGGAGCCTCCTGAGCCCTGCCTGGCCTGGGCTGCGGCACAGCTGCATTCCCTGCCCTGCAGGGTGGCCCTGAGCAGCACCCTGGCCTGCCCTGGCACAGGCTCTGCCGTGGCATCACCTGCAAGGAGCAGGGGGTAAAGGAGAAGAGAAAGGGCTGCAGGTCAGTGCTGGCTGATTGTGACACCCCAGTGACACTGCCAGCTCCTGGCCAGGGTCCCTGAGCTCAGCCAGAGCCAGAGCCAGAATCAGAACCAGAACCAGAGCCAGAGACACAGCCAGAGCCAGAACCAGAACCAGAGCCAGAGACACAGCCAGAGCCAGAACCAGAACCGGAGCCAGAGACACAGCCAGAATCACAGACACAGACACAGCCAGAGACACAGCCAGAGCCAGAACCAGAACCAGAGCCAGAGCCACAGCCAGAATCACAGACACAGACACAGCCAGAGCCACAGCCACAGCTACAGCCACAGACACAGCCACAGACACAGCCAGAGCCACAGACACAGCCAGAGCCACAGCCAGAGCCACAGCCAGAGCCACAGCCAGAGCCAGAGCCACAGACACAGACACAGACACAGCCACAGACACAGACACAGCCACAGCCACAGCCAGAGCCACAGCTACAGCCAGAGCCACAGACACAGCCACAGACACAGCCACAGACACAGACACAGCCAGAGCCACAGCCACAGCCACAGCCACAGCCAGAGCCACAGCCACAGCCACAGCCAGAGCCACAGCTACAGCCACAGACACAGACACAGCCACAGCCACAGCCACAGACACAGCCACAGACACAGACACAGCCAGAGCCACAGCCACAGCTACAGCCACAGCCACAGCCACAGACACAGCCACAGACACAGACACAGCCAGAGCCACAGCCACAGCCACAGCCACAGCTACAGCCACAGACACAGCCACAGCCACAGACACAGACACAGCCAGAGCCACAGCCACAGCCAGAGCCACAGCCACAGCCACAGACACAGCCAGAGCCACAGCCACAGCCACAGACACAGCCACAGACACAGACACAGCCAGAGCCACAGCCACAGCCACAGCCACAGCTACAGCCACAGACACAGCCACAGCCACAGACACAGACACAGCCAGAGCCACAGCCAGAGCCACAGCTACAGCCACAGACACAGACACAGCCACAGCCAGAGCCACAGCTACAGCCACAGACACAGACACAGCCACAGCCACAGCCACAGACACAGCCACAGACACAGCCACAGACACAGCCAGAGCCACAGCCACAGCCAGAGCCACAGACACAGCCAGAGCCACAGCCACAGCCAGAGCCACAGACACAGCCACAGCCACAGACACAGCCACAGCCACAGCCAGAGCCACAGCCAGAGCCACAGACACAGCCACAGACACAGACACAGCCACAGCCACAGCTACAGCCACAGACACAGACACAGCCACAGACACAGACACAGCCACAGACACAGCCACAGCCAGAGCCACAGCCACAGACACAGACACAGCCACAGCCACAGCTACAGCCACAGACATAGACACAGACACAGACACAGACACCGCCACAGCCAGAGCCACAGCCACAGACACAGACACAGCCACAGCCACAGCTACAGCCACAGCCACAGACACAGCCACAGCCAGAGCCACAGCCACAGCCACAGACACCGCCACAGCCACAGCCACAGACACAGCCACAGACACAGCCACAGACACAGCCACAGCCAGAGTCACAGCCACAGCCACAGCCACAGACACCGCCACAGCCAGAGCCACAGCCACAGACACAGCCACAGACACAGCCACAGACACAGACACAGCCAGAGCCACAGCCACAGCCACAGCCACAGACACCGCCACAGCCAGAGCCACAGCCACAGCCACAGCCACAGCCACAGCCACAGCCCCAGCCAGGGCAGGAGCAGCAGAGCCTGGCAGAGGCTGCAGCCCTGGGTGCAAACAAGCAGCAGGCGAGGCACAGCCAGCACAGCTTGTCCCACCCAGAAGGAAGAGCACAGAAGGATTTTGGCTGGAAAAGTCTTTAATGTCATCAAGTCCAACCATGGAGGCAGCAGTGCCAAGCCAAGCCTCCCCTCCTCCCAGGTTTCTGCAGCCCCAGCTGTGTTAGGGCCCCCTGGGCTGGGGGCTCCAGCAGCCCTGGCACTGGGTGGGACATGCTGGGCTCAGGAGGGATCTGTGCACAGGCACTGGGGTCAGCCCACAGAGCTCCCTTGGCAATGTTCTCCAAGCTCTGCTAAACCTGTTTGGGTTTGGGAGGTGGGGGAAGAACCAGGAAACATCAGGTTTCAACACTCACAGGGTTCTGTTATTCCCCTTTTGATGCTACTTTTTATTTTGATTAAAAAATGCTTTGAGGTCTGACACAAACCTCCTTCTTGCCCACGGAGCCAATGTCAATACAGAGCTCTGTGAGCTCCTCAGGGGGAAACGTTTGGAATTACAGAATGAAAAAATAAAAATTAAAAGCACCAGCCTGATCTTTTCCGAGCTTTGCTCCTTCCTTTGCAGGCATATTCAGAATTTTTCTCTTTTCCCTATGAAACATTTTGGGTTCCCAGAGCACCCACAGCTGAAGCAAACCCCAGCTCCCAGTGGGCAGTGTCCAAGCTTCTCTGCTCCCACCCTGCGTACCATCCCAGGAGAAAGACCCTGGTTCACTTTTCCTTGCAAAATCTCTCCTTTTGGAGCCAAGTCAATCACCTTCCCCTCCTGGCATGGGGCACGGAGCCCAGCCAGGCTATCAGCAGTATTTAGTTAATGCTGGAGAAACCTTGGATCAAAAGGAAAACAACATTTTCCCACAGAAAATGCAATCTCCAACCCCTTCCTGTGCTCGATTAAAGCAACGCCACTAATTAGGCTTCCATCTACCCATCCCACACACTCTCCTGGGCCAGCAGTTTCCTGCCCACCCTTGTGCAGCCTTAGGCCAGCCTTTCTCCAAGTGAAAATGCCTGTGAAAGGCGTGAAATTGGGCAAGGACAGGTTTGCAAACAACCGCAGCTTCTGGAGCTTGGCAAGATTTGATTTCAGCAGAGAAACTCAAACCAAGAGGGACCTTTGCCAAATGGTCTGGCACCAGGGCAGCCAATGCAGGCAATTCAAGGTATTTGTGTCCCAGCCTTGCATTTTCTCTTGCTGTGGGAGCAGGGAAGGGGGAATTCTGTCCTTCCACCTGCATTTTTGTGACTCTGAATGGCTCCAGCCAGCCCCACTAAAGCATCTGCCTGTGTGGATGCATTTGAGGTGCACTGGGGGTGTGAACCTGTTTATTTGTGTGTGTTTGTGTCCCTGCACTCCGGCTGTTTGCTGGAACAGGCTGCACTTCCCCCTGCATATGTCTCTGTGGCTACGTGCCTGGCTGCGTGGGAGAGCTTCCCGTGGCTCCTGGTGCCATTCCCAGGAAGCCCAGACAGCAAAAGGCACACGCTGCACTGGGGAATTATTAGTGAGAGAAGCAGTGGGGAAGGGCTGAGAAAGGGTTAATCTGCAGAAAATAATCCAGATGGGCAAAGAAGTGCCACAGAGGGTGTTTGAGGTGGCTCCTCCCGGAGAGGTGGAAGAGAGAGGACAGGAGCTTTGGGAAGGGTGAAAGGGAAAGCCACAGGGTGGGAGTCAGGGGGCAGGTGCACCCCAGGCTTCCAGCCTGCACATTTTCTTCCCTGGGGTTTTAAAGGGATTCTTCCCACTGAGCCTTTTCTGGCATCAAGACAAGAGGCATCGAGAGCAGCAAACCCTCCCAGCAGCACCTGCATGGCCCCCAGGAATTCCAGCCCCTTAACACTGATGTCACACAAGGCTTTTCCCAATGGAAAGGTCCTCCAGTTGCTCCCAGAGCAACTCCACACAGCAGCCTCTGAGATGACCAGCTGGGATCTCCATCTCCGCAGTTCTAACCCAGGATGACCAGCTGGGATCTCCAGCTCTGCACTTCTAACCCAGGATGACCAGCTGGGATCTCCAGCTCTGCAGTTCTAACCCCAGGATGACCAGCTGGGATCTCCAGCTCTGCACTTCTAACCCAGGATGACCAGCTGGGATCTCCATCTCCGCAGTTCTAACCCAGGATGACCAGCTGGGATCTCCAGCTCTGCAGTCCTGAGGGAGCCCAGGGGCTCCTGTCCATCCCCAGCTCACCCAGGCCATGGAGCAGCATCTGGAGTTCCCTCCAGGACAGGGGTCCCTGGGGGTCCATCCATTACTCTCCTATCAATGCCCTTCTCGGTTCATTTCTTTAACAAATCTTCCCTGTACATCTTGGTGGAAACAGCCCAGAGATAATAACAGTAGATATGGGTTGACCTATGGGATTCCTGGAGTGATCAAACTGTCAGATAACAGAATAAATCTTTCTCGTGGGCTGGGATTAAATCAGAGAGTGTTGGCTGCTGCGGCTTCTTATTTATTTGTGTTCTCTTAAATTGCATTTCCCTTCCCCCCATGAAGAGCACTGGCTGCCTGCAGCTGTAAATTACTGCAGACCTTCTGGTGAGTTGAGACACCGAGTCTCTTAACCTTGCAAACATCTCCTGCTTCCTTTAATGGCTTCTGAGAGCTCCCAGGAAAGAGAAAGCAAAATGGGGGGCATGATTTGATGGGAAGTTCATACCTTGGCATTGCCCCGGTCTGGAGATGCCCTGCAGCCCCTTGCTGTGGAACTCCTGGATGTTTCATGGCCGTGGATGCAGCATTTCCTCTCGGCTTCCCCAGCCTGCTCCTGGCCCTGGTTCCCTGCAGCACCGTGGGGCAGGGGCTGGGGCTGGGCTATGCCTGCAAACAGCCCTGGGGAGCTGGGAATCACAGCCAGGGAACCACAGAGCCATTCAGGCTGGAAAAGTTCTGTAAGAAAAGGGGGAACAGGGTGCCCAGAGCAGCTGTGGGATCCATCCCACCCTGGAGCCCTGGCAGTGCCCAGGGCCAGGCTGGACACTGGTATAGGTGGCCATTGAATCTTAGTGTGTATTGTATAGGTGGCCTTTGAGCCATAGTAAAGCCTATGCATTGTATAAGTGGCCTATGAGTCTCAGTAAAATCTGTGTATTGTATAAGTGGCCTTGCTCCAGTCCTAGTTGTTCTAAATGGGCTGCAGCTGTGATGTCCTTAATTGGGTGGCAGCTGTGGCTAATGAAGATAACTGGGATAAAAGGGGGTGAGTTGGCTGGTCAGGGAGAGCCTTGGAGGAGCTCTGATGAAGAAGCAGGAACAACACTGCTGTGAAGAGCTGCTTGTGAGAAAACCACCCAGAAGGTATGGGACTCTAGAAATATAATAACACACTGGGGCTGGAAGCACCTGGGACAGTGTCCCTGCCATGGCAGGGGTGGCACTGGATGGGCTTTGAGGTCCTTCCAACCCAAACCACTCCATGATTTAGGATTCTAAGATCATCAAGCCCAACCATGAACCTGGCACTGCCAAACCCACCACTAAACCACGTCCCTGGAAGGGGCCATGGCCCTGCTCTCCTGCCCGAGCACACTCCCAGAGTCCCCATTTGCTCTGGCAGGGCAGCACGTGGATTACTGGGCTCAGGCAGCATCTCTGGAGCTTGGCTGGGAGATCCCATGACAGCTGTAGAGACAGGACCCAGGGGCTGGCTCAGGAGGGGTGCTTGGAGAGATGCCCAGAAGGGTTTGGTCTCCAGTGGCAAGTCAGGAGAAAATTCTGACAGGGTAAAATACGTCCTCCTTTAAAAAAAAAGTTAAAATAAAATAAAAAAAGAAAAAAAGTACAAACCAAATCCAAACCAAATCAAGGTGTGAAATTTGCTGTGAAAGGATTCTGGAAAAGTTTCTACATTTCAGTGCTTAAGTCCCAGTTTCAGAGGAGGTTCCTGCTGACCCGCTGGTGCTCTTCCACCTCCACAGAGTGAGCTGCAGGGGAGGTGGAAGGGAGATCCAGGGAAGCTGGGGTGTACGTACATCAGGATGTCAGTCCAGGCCTACATAGAAAAAGCTCTCACACTTTCTAATCCTTCCTAGGAGCAAAAATTTTCTGAATCCCACCCCAACAGCCTCCATTGCCAGAACCAGTGAATTCCCAGGGGTCTGCAGAGCTACCAGCACATCCTCAGGGACAACTTCCCCCATCCCAGCCCTTCCCACAGCCATCCAGCCTCCCTGCCGTGACCTGGACACTCCTTGGTGTAAATCCTGAGGAAACAATCAGGCTATGGGACCTAGTTCCCAGCCAGACATTTCTAATGAATCTGATTTTGTAAAAACAGAAATCCTGGAGATGCAGAGTCACCAATTGCTCTTGAAACCTCATCAAGCGTCCCACGGAGCAGGGAGAGATGAGCTGCTCCGTATTCCCTTTTTGTGCTGTTTGAAACACCATCCCTTCTGGAAGGGAGAAGGGGGATGCAGCATCATCATCCCCAGGGTGGCAGGGAGTGCTGGGAGATGCTCTGCCCAGCACAGGGGCTGCCCTCAGCCTTTCCCCGGCTGCCACAGGCAGGGGAGCAGCCCAAGCACTGCAGCTCAGATAAAGTCAGGCTGAGTTTAGGAAGGGAGAGGTGCAGCACTGAGATCTTCTCCAGAACGTGCACAAGGAGCTGCTGGCAAACCCACTCTTGCCTTACCTGAAGGACCATCCTCCAGCCCAC